AGGAGTCTTGTTGTAAAGGGCAGTAGACAAAATGGGGCAGTAGATGGAGAGGGATGAGAAGCCCAAGGGAAGTTGTTTTTGTCTTTTAAGCTGGGAGATACTGCATATATACATCATATACATCACATATATAGGCTGAGCAGTGATAGAGTTGAAGGGGGAAAATTGATGCAAAAGAGGGAGTACATACCTACAGGAGCAAAGTCCTTGAGGAGGCAAGAGGAAATGAGATGCACTTCAGAAGTAGAGTGTCAAGAACTCTCAAATGTCTGAGATTTTTATCCTACTTGTATGCTAACAAGTTAGCCTGTCACAATTTCATGGATGCTGGCAGAATACATGAGACTCCTGGGTCAGAGACAGTGGATTTCATTTCTCATAGCATTAGCAGTAGCCAGAATATCAGAATTTCCTTGCATCAGTTTCCTGAACCTCAATTCCTACAGAGCAATGTGAAGAGGGCCAGGTGACACCTGCACATGCAGCGGGTTGCATTACAAGTGAAGAAATCTGAGCTTAGTGTACTTGAATCTTTGATATTGGGCAATAAACACACCTACCTGTCCTTTGCTCCAGAGGGAGACGTTATTTTAGTGGACAGTAAGCATCCTGATGTTTGTTCCATAGGGAGACGCTATCTTATCTTCCAAAGCTGTTCACCATACAAATACCCTTGATAAGTAGCCTAAAACAAAAGAAATGTGAGAGACACGTGGAGAATGGTCTCTCAACAGAGAGTTTAGCCATAATTAAGAGCATGGACACTTCCTCCATTTTAAAGCATGGAGATTGGAAGAGTGAGGAAGATAAGATTAGTGGAAAAGATGCTGGCAGTTCTCTTTTCCTTAATTTTATTTTTTTCCCAGTGTGTCGGTAGGTGGGAGTATCAGGTAAGAGTGAGGACCAGACATCAAGAGTATGGGTTTTAAAGAGAGAGAAAGTCTAGAAGAGTGAGACAGGGTTGACTAAGGGAATGAATGACTGGGCACTGCTGAGGGCCCTCCTATAATTTGTGATCATAAGTTTAAACAGTCAGCTCAGTTGTGACTGTTTTACCCAGGTCTGTTCCACTGCTTGTGGGTAGGGACAGGGTAGTCAGAGAGTTGGCTTTAACCAGGATTGGAGTTTTTCCAGGCGAGAAAGATGGAGAAAGGAAATGGCAAGGGAGTTGAGAATGTACACAAAGGAGTGATTACAGTAATGGACCAGAGAATCTAGGCTAGACGAAGAAGAGAGTGAGGAGAGGAAGGACAGTGAAAAACTGATGGGGCCAAAGGCTCAGAGTTTCTGATGGGGCTGGAGAATGTGGAGTGGGGGTATTAGAATAGGTGAACTAGAAGACAGGAGGTGGTAGTCAAATAATGGAATGCTTAAAATCAAGATTTAGAGTTAGGGTGTATGAGCATGGATATGGGTAGCTGAGGTGGGGAGGAGAAAAAGATCATCGAAGGTGAGGAGTTCAGGAAACTGAGTGGCCAGAGTGTCAGATGGGTGATTTATGAGCTTGTTGAAGTCCCCAAGAATAACTGGAGTCACGTGGAGAGAAAGACAGTGAGCCAGGTGCTAAAATTTTTAACGAATGGGAGAAATAACTGGAAAGTTACAGATGATTGCAAGAGGGAGGGGCAGTGGGTGCTATGGAATGATGGTAGACTATTCCTTCATTTAATAAATATGTATTTATATATGACCAGCTGTGGGAGAGAAAAATTATTATCACCGTCCTCAAGAAGTATATGTGGTAACTTGAAGATAATGCATACACCCATGAAACACTAAACAACAGGGCCAACACTGCAGTACGGTGAAGCAGAAAGAACACTGACCTAAAGGTCGGAAGATCTGAGTTCTACTTCCAGCCCTGCCAGTAATTAGCTGTGAGCTTGAGTAAATCGCTTAACCTCACCAGGCCTCAGTTTCCACATTTGGATATGGATTGGATGATTCTCAACATACCTCAGGGCCCAACATTCTTTAATTCTATGATATAAAATAATACACATTTCACAAAGAAGTTAGGAAGAATAAGCACGATTATCCAGATGTTAAAGAAAGAGGAAATTGAACCATGAAGAACTACATAATTTGTCCAGCATTAGACTGTTAAGTCAAGTTCATTGTTGTCTGTATTAGAACATACACAGTACAGAATAGGTGCCCTAATCTTGTTTGTTTCCCTCCACTTGTACAAAGTTGTGTTTATTTTTTCATTATCTCTATTTACTTCCAGCTGGGTCATGATTGCTTATGTGAAAGAGCAAAGAAAATACCATCAGAACCCATAACTGGGACACCGACATTTAACAGCCCTGAAAGAATATATTTTGCCTAAAATATGTAGTTCTAGCCTACCGTATGTTGAAAATTGTGTTCAGAAATCTGAACTCTAAACACAGTAGACTTATCACATCCTGACTGTCAGAGATAATGTAAAATCAGATGAGAGGGAAGGAAGGGAAGTTGAGAGTCGTGGTGGTTGTCTGATCCAAGCCCCATAAAAGCCATTCGATAATGGAGGAAGCAAAGAGGTATGTTGCCCTCTAGGAATTGTATGTCACTCTGGAGTAATTAGGCTGACATGCATTTCCCTGGTGGCAAATGTAATGAGTGGGTCCAATAACCCTTGACATCAGCATAATGTCAGGGTGGGATTGGAAGTCAAGGTTTAGAAGGATATAATTGGGGTAAAGGGATGTAAACAGTTTTTCCTCTATAACAACTTCTTCCTTTATAACTGTAACGTTACTGCTATATTTTTTAATATATGCAAGCAATTCGGTCGTATGGTTAACAAATGCTCGTTGAGATCCAACTATATACTAGGCACCATTGTGAAGGCTAGAAGTATTGTGGAGAGCAAGATAGCTAAGGGCCCTGTCCTATCTCCCTTTGCTAATGTATACTGAATGGGGGAGATAGACATAAATAAGAAAATGAATGTTAGATATTTTTCAGAGTATGATCAATGCTATGAAGAATATAAAACAGAGTAACAGTATGTCCCTTACCATGGTCTGCATTCCCTCCATTTAGAATGTCCATACCACAAGACCTAGGACTTTGTTATACCCATCACTGTGCCTTCTGTGCCTTGGCTGGTGAATTTTAACTGTGGGCTTCTTTAGATAGGGTTATCAGAAAAGGTCTCTCTAAGGCGGTGCCATCTGAACTGAGACCTAAAAAATTGGGAGTTTTCAGCCATACAAAGATGCAGGGGCAGGGGAGCAATGTAAAATTTCAAGGGAGCAACAAATTCAGTATGTTTAAGAAAGATAAAGAAGGCCATTGTGACTGGAGAGTTGGAAGGGTGGAAAAGTGTAACATAAGGTGAGGTTGAAGCAAGAGTCAGGGGCTAGGTTAATGTAGGGCCTTGTAAACCAAGGTTAGAAGTTTGAATTTTAATTTAATTGCTGTAATAAGCCATTGGAGGATTTTAATGAGGGATATTGTACAACCTTATTTTTAGTTTTAAAAGCTTACTCTGGCACTTGTGTAGGGAAGAGACTGAAGGGAGCATGAGAGGAAGCAAGAGCTCAGTTAGGAGGTGAGAGGTGATGGTAGCTTGATGCAGGGGAGTATGTGTTGAGAAGTTGTCGAATTTGAGGTCCATTCTGAAGGTAGAACAATAGGACAAGCTGATTGGCTGGATGTGGGGTGTTAGAAAAAGAGAGGAGTCAAGAAAGATTCCAGTTGGTGCTGGTGGTGTCACTAACTGAAAGGGAAACTGGAAGAGGAGCACAGTTTTTCCAGGGAAAATCAAGGATTTACTTTAGGCCATGTGAAGTTTATGGTACCTATTAGACTTCCAAGTGGATATGTACATTATTAAATGGTTGAGATATGAGTATGGCAAGATGTCACAGCTGGGTCTTTGGCATTTAGATGCTATGTAAAGCCACAAGACTGAGATCACCCAGGGAGAGCATGTAGATATAAGAGCCGAGGACTAAGCCTTGAACATCTGTCATAAGACTTTTGATTCTTGAATAATATGATTCTTTGAATAATATGATATTTTATGTAGAACTGCCTTACCTACCAGGTCAATCAGTCAGTTTTAAAACACCATTTTCTCTTTCTCCCTCTCTCAGCAAGTAGTACGAGGCCATCTTGGAGGGAAGCCATGTTAGTGAGAACCTTTAATCACACAGCAGCCTCTGGGACTTGCCAATAAGTCATCAGATATGTAGGGAAAGACTCTTGTCCCCATCACGCCTCTCTCCCATCATGCAATCTTCCCTGACTCCCCCAGGCCACAGTGGTCCCGCCTTTCCTCCATTTTCCTCTGAACTGCTCTATTCCTCATTACTGTCTGTACCTCTGCAGACATTCCTGTGGTGTTATAGCGCAGAGCAGGTGCTCTCATCTGTGTTTGTTTCCCTCCACTTATACAAAGTGTGTTTGTCTTTCCATTATCTCTGTTTGAGTCTAGCTAGGTCATGATTGCTTATCATCTCCACTTTCAACTACATTGTAACTTCTTCAAGGGCAGGATATTCTCTTATTTATCTTTCTATCCCTTATCATGTTTTGCATTTCCCCATTTAGAAGGTAGGTACCACAATGGCTAGGACCTTGTCTGTTATGCTCACCACTGTACTCTTTGAGCTTGGAGCAGTGTTCTTGAATAAACACAAATAGAATGAATGAATACAATAACTGTTGATAGATTTATGTTCTAGATAGGTAATCAAATGCCCTGCCTCAAAGCAAGACTTTCTCCCTTTTCCTTGTTAGATGTTGTCTCCACTTTGGATCCCCTTGAGCTTTACCACTACACACAGTTAACACAGCGGTATAAAGAGGTGTTTCACGTCTCACCATCTTTATGGACCGTTTTCACAGATCCTGTGAATACTGCAGTAGATAAGAACAGGGTATACACTTATGGTCTGTATAAGATGCATATATGCAGTTTGGGATCTGTGGTAGATTGTCTGCAAAGATGGCCACCAACAGTTTCTTTTATCTCTATATGTGGGTGTTGTTCCTCCCAACAGGACATGCAGTTTGTTTCCCTTCCCCTTGAGTCTGGATGGCCTTGAGACTTGCCTTGGCTAACAGAATGCAGTAAAGTGATGTCATTTGACTTTTGGGTCTGGGCCTTAAGAAGCCTTGCAACTTCCAGTTTTACTGTCTTGGAATCTGGACACCATTTTTAAGAAGCTTGGACTTCTGGATGATGTAAGGACCATATGGAGAGAGAGAAGCCTAGCCAGCACCCAACCATTCCAGCCACTTCACCTGAGGTAAGAAACATGAGTAAAGCCATCTTGACTTCTCCAGCCCCAGCTAAGCTGTTCCAGCCAACCACATGGAGCAACTCTGAGGAGCCCCACCGTAATTGCCCAATCATGAGAAATGATAAATAGTTGTTGTTTTAAGCCACTGCTTTTAGGGGTGATTTGTTATATGGCAATAGATAACTAAAATAGAATCTGTTTCAGGGTCCATTTTATGACAAAACTTCTAGAAATACGTTGCATTTAAAAACAGAGCTTCTGCAATTTCTAGCAAAATTACAGATGCAATTATCCTTTGTCTCAGCAATTTTCCTTCTAGGAATCTATCTGAAAGATCCCCTGGCGATAATACAAAGAGGTGTATTGGCTGCGCATTGCAGCACTATTTGTAATAGCAACAAAATTCAAACAACTCAAATGTCTATCAGCAGGGGACTGGTGAAACAAGCTGTGTCACATCCACATGATGGAGTAATATGCAGCTATGAAAAAGGAATGGGGACTCTCTGTAAACTACCATGGAGTGATCACCAGGACATAAGGTTGAATGAAAAAAGCAAGGCAGAGAAAAGTGTGTATGATATGCTACTATTTAACTTTTTTAAATGAAAGGATAAAATACAAAATTTTCAAAAGAAATTGTTACCTATAAGTGGAGGGAGGGAATGGGGTAAATGATACCACAGGAATATAATCTACAAACTCCAGATTGTAGGAAACTTTATAGAACAACCAACCTGGTTTCTTTAACAAGAAAAGTTTGAAGAAAACAAAAAGAGATGGAATAGGAACCTAGTGATTGGAAAGAGGGACTTTGGGCATATCAACCAATTGCAATTTATGAACCTATTTGTATTCTGATTTGAATACATAAACTGAAAAAGTTTATAAAACAATGGGAAAATTTAAACACTGGGTGAATATTCGATGACATTAAGGAATTATTATTTAGGTGTGCTAATGATAGTGTGGTTTTATTCTTAAACGAATCTTCATATATTAGAGATACACACTGAAATTTTTTATAGATGAAATGATATGATGCTGGGAGTTGTTTCAAAAGAATTACATAGATTGGTGAAGTGGGTGAAGTTACAGATTAAACAAAATTGGCTATGAGTTGACAATTAGTGAATCTGGATGATTGGTTCATGAAGATTCATTATATTGTCGTCTTTATTTTTGTATATATTTGAAATTTTCCAAAATAAAAAAGAATGGCCTCTGTGACTCAGGTTTTTAAGGGCACTGAATCCATTTTCTTCGTAATACCACACTTTGGGTCCATCACTCTAATTAACAGCATCCATGTCAAATGGAAGTTGTACCTGTAAAACCATGATGAATATTTAGAACTGTGTGTGCTTGACAGCCTGTGATTTTAAAGTTATAATGAGCTCTCAGGAGGTCCAAATGTTTTTGTTGTTTTTGTTTAATAATTTCCTGTGTCATTGTTATCTCTTACACTTAGGAAAAATTTTAACTAACATGTGAATAGTCTCCTTCTTCTCTTCCAAACATCTATCATTCATTCGGTCAATGATTCAACACTCTTTGATCAAGTACTATTCGGAGAAGTTGTGGTGTTAGGGAGAGGCTGCTGCTAGCCGAAAGAGGTACCCAGCCCTGCTGCACATGACGGTCACCATGCACGCCCAGTTGCTTACACACCATAGAACAGTAGAGGGCTGTAACACAGGTCTATGGAAGGACAGAGGAGGGGCCTAGTTCCTCTGCCTCTAGCAGGAGTTTGAGGGAGAAATCCTGGAAAAGGAGGTTTTGCAGCATGCTAAGATGCTGGTTCTGGGCGAAGAATAACCACAGAATTGGGTCCAGCTTACTTTGGATGAAAGATGTAACATGATGCTTTTCACTTTCAAATACCCCAAGCCTCTCATCTTCTTCCTCACTGAAATGAATGACATGCATCAGTGGTTCTCAATGTCTGATCCCTGGACCAACAGCCTGGCCATCCCCTGGGAGCTTTTAGCAATGCAAATATTCCGGCCCCACCCCAGACCTGCTGAATCTGAAACTCTGGAGGTGGGCCGGTCACCTGTGTTTTAACACGCCCTCCAGGTCATGCTGATGCTCACTCAAGTTTGAGAACCGCTGGTTTAGAGAAAACCAGTAAGTGTTCCACAAATGCAGTTTAAAGAAGGAACAGGAAGCTTGTCCTTTGTCCAAATAAAAATAAATTCTGATTATGGGGGAAATTTTGAGAGAATCCAAGGCAGAAAAATAGTTTTGCTTGGCTGACGGCCTGACAGAGCAGTGGTTGTGGAGAGACCAGTGCTCCACAAAGAGAACCACAGACGCCAGGCTGGGCAGCTGCTGTCTGCCTCTAGAGCAGACTGGAGAGATCTAAGGTTTGGGGGAACCAGGCCCCAGTCTCCTGCTCTGAGATACTAATCCTTGGCCAGAGATACCTGGGGCCAATAGCTAAATATAACGATTATCCTCTGAGAGTGAGACTATGTAGGACAAGGTATAATAGATAATAAAACTGTATGATAAAATTTTTGTAAAATCCTCTCTTTTCACTTTTTTCTTTTTTTTTTAATAGCTCTGTCAGAGTTTTTTTTTCTAAGATTGGCACTGAGCTAACATCTGTTGCCAATCTTCTTTTTTGTCTCTTCTCCCCAAAGCACCCCCAGTACATAGTTGTATATTCTACTTGTGAGTGCCTCTGGTTGTGCTATGTGGGATGCCGCCCCAGCATGGCTTGATGAGCGGTGCCATGTCCCCACCTGGGATCCAAACTGTGAAACCCTGGGCCACTGAAGCAGAGTGCGCAAACTTCACAGCCACAGGGCCGGCCCCACTTTTTACTTTGTTTATATGGCCAGTAGAAAATTTAAAATATGTAGCTCACATATATGGCTTGCATTATATTTCCATCAGACAGCACTGGTCTATAAGGTGTATATAAAATGGAGGGTGGGTAGGAGACAACGTTCTACTAGTTTTTCCTCCAGTTCTGAGCAGGAGAGTGGGTGTCCAGAACCACAAATTGTCATTTCTAATTCATGAGTCATTTGTGTTTATATTGTGAAGATAGCTCAATGATACTAGCCATAAAGATCACACAGTAAACATCTTTTTTGTCCATATTCACAAAGCAATTTTTCAATTTTAGAAAATAGACTTTCCTATCAAGAGAAAATGCATTGGTTAGTGAAAACTAGAACGCATAACAATACATACCAATACTAGCCATTCCCGCTTCCCCTGCCTTGACTGTTTCAGACATAGTTAACTAATCAGGACTTTTTTCCTACTGATCCCAGACATGGCATCAATGTCCTTATCAACAGAGTACTGCAAGAAGCAGTGTAGCTAGTGAGAGATGCAGCCATGGAGCAAAACTAGGTCTGCCTGACTCCAAGGACCGATTTTCTTCATCACACCATGCAGATTCCCACTTAATAACAGGTGCACATTTATAGTTTGATTTCTAATTCAAGTCAATAAACTGTCCTTCTGATTTGTAAATCAGTGTCTTATGAATTTGATTGGCCTCATGCCCCTCTTTTCTTTTTCCAAGAAGAGTAGATAGGTTCTAATACGAATCCAGAAGGTGTGTGGTGCACAAGAGAGAGCTGGAGAAGAACAATGGCATTTTAGGAAGTCAATATTTAATACGATGGGAGAATTCGTATGACATGTTTTTCTACTTTTCCAGAGGCAGGCTCCGAGGTTTGAACAGTTCTCTTCAAATTCTACCACTATCTCTGATTTAGAACTCATCAGGAAGTTTTTGTATGGAATTTCCAACAATAATAGTAATAATAATTCCTGTATCAGGATTATTTTGGCTGCAAATAATATATATGTTTCTATATTGAGAATGTTGACACTGCTGCTATTCAAGAAACTTTATGCAGCCAGAAGGCAAATTTGTCAACATAAATGAGTGGGGTGACAAAAAGGATGGTGTCCCAGAGGAAATGACACTGGCAAAAATTTCACATTAAAGGAACTCTCAAGATATTTCACTGAAAATGGAAAGGATAAAATGTTGGAAGCTGATCTAAATTTAGAAAGGCTATGACAATTTACCAAGGCATTAGAAAAGATGCTCTGAAGGTAAGCACTGTTCAAACTACTTTTGATAAAATTTTTACAAAGAAAACATTTTATCAATGTGTCAAATGTTTTAAATAACAATCTACCAAATAAATATTCGTTTTACCATTTTTAAACTCTCTCTATACACTTATAAATGGAAGTCAGAGTTTTTAATATTTTGGCAAACATTTCTATGGAACGGTTGTAATTTTTCCTATTGGTTATTAAGATTGCTTTGCACAGTTTCAGCTTGCATGATCATTTTTATGCTCCTGCACTGCCATGCAAAGTGAGGGCTGCCTGTATATGAGTCAAATAAGAAATTCAAAATGATAGAATTATACTAATGCTTTGGCAATGTAAGTGTATTTTAAAGTATAATTGGAGAATGAAAAAAATAAAAGGTGCAATAATACTGTAGACACATCTGCCCATGCAAACAACAATTCACAAAGCTATTTCAAATTTGTGTGATATATTCAAGACAAATTATCTGGGTATTCATTTGCCTGGAGGGTGAGAGTATAAAAAGGAAAAGATGGAGAACAGGTGTGAATCACTGTATATAATGTCTTATCTTTGGAAAACATGGCTGCTACTGTCAAACTATCTTAAAATTTGCTTCCTTAAGGAGTGAGTCTGCACCAATTAGAAGGCCATTGGCTGCAAGTACATCAGGACTCCAGCTCCTCTTGCTGGGCATTTCTCTTGGCTCTGCCTTCTACTTGCATATTGGCTCCATTTCAGGCTGGCAGCAAATCATGACAGCTGTACCAGGCATCACATCGAAATGCCACGTCTTCCAGAGGCAGATAGGGGCTGTCTCTTCCAGAGTCTCCTTCTCAGGAGTAAGGAGAAGCCCTCTAGCCTATTGGCTGGAACTTGGCCACGTAGCCACTCTATCAGTCAGGGTTCAAGATGGAAAACTAAAGCCG